AGCGTGACATTCACAGGCAGATCGGTGCAGCGTGCGCAGTGATGCGGTCGCTGTATCGGACCGTTGTGATAAAAAGGGAGCTGAGCCGAAAGGCAAAGCTCTCGATTTACCGGTCAATCTTCGTTCCCTCCCTCACCTATGGTCATGAGCTTTGGGTAATGACCAAAAGAACGAGATTTCGGATACAAGCGGTCAAAATGAGCTTCCTCCGCAGAGTGGCTGGGTGCTCCCTTAGAGATAGGGTGAGGAGCTCAGTCACACGGGAGGAGCTTGGAGTATAGCCGCTGCTACTCCACGTCGAGAGGAACCAGTTGAGGTGGCTCGGGCATCTGTTCAGGATGCCTCCTGGACCCCTCCCTGGGGAGGTGTTCCGGGCACATCACACCGGGTGGAGGCCCCGGGGAAGACCCAGGACACGCTGGAGGGACTATGTCTCTCAGCTGGCCTGGGAACGCTTTGGGGTCCCCCCAGGCGAGCTGGAGGAAGTGTGTGTGGATAGGGAAGTCTGGGCGTCTCTGCTTAGACTACTGCCCCCGCGACCCGGCAACGGATGAAGCGGAAGAAAATGTGTGGGTGGATGGAAAGGTGGTGTCACCTCAATTAAGACAAGTGTAATTTCCCTGTGAGCCCATCTCCCACAAAGAGTGTGGAAGCATCATGTCAACTTGGAAAACATGTGCTTTTGGGTGTAAATATGTGACAACACAATTTGGCTTGCCAAAGACAATGAATTACGTGAATGTGGCTTTCTATTCACAGGGATCTGCCTCAGAAATCTGCAAAGAATCTGTTTTTCTGCACTGACACCGTCACTAAATATTGTTTCCAGACCTACAGTGAACAGAGTGTTGCTACAGTAATAGTACTTCTCTTCTCTGGTAAAAGACCAGACAGTACCGGTCCAGGACCAGTCCAGGACAAGTCCAGGACCAGGACCTCAGAGAAAACTGAGTTACTTAAACTGCAGTAGAACACAAAATTTATGAAAATAATGACATGGAAATAAACTAGAAGTCATGAAGACCACAAATGTACGTAAGCTGAGTAATAAATGAAAAGCCATCAAATTGACTGCCCTGGGAATGCTGGTGTTAAGGCCCAACTCCCTGTCCTCCCAAGACCCCACATCAGTCCCACCTCACAACTGCATCAGCACACTCAGTTCCCTGTACCCTTGAACCGCAGTGGACCGCAGTGAACCCCTGACTCAACTCCCATCACATATACATTCACACGCACGCACTAAAATGTCATTACGGCTCCTCAATTGGGCTCGGTTCTCCGCCGTGCGCCAGCCTCTCAAACTATGCAAAGAGCTGAATGTGCCCAGATAAAAAATGTAGAGAACTGAGGGTGAAAAAAAAAATTAAATAAATAAATAAATGGCGCTGCAGAGGATGGGGAGGGTATGCGTTCAGCGCTTGGAATGCAAGTCACATGCACACCCCAGAATACGCAGCATCGGCTATGTAAATGCCTCCGGGGCTGTGGAGTTCAGTTGTGCATGGTTAAACATCAAATAATTCCCCGTTACTTGTTTTTGTGGGTGCAGACGGACTGGACGAGCAGAGAAACTTGAGGAGGGGGGGGGCTTTGGTGGTGTTTGGGACGCAAAGCACATCCTGGGGTCTTGTAAATACCGCGGGAAGAGCAGGTAGGAACAAGGCGAGGGCAGCGGAGGGGAGAAGTGTGATTATGTGGTGATTTGAGGAGAAAGCGGGCTGTTCACTGCGGACAGCTTGTGTTCGGGTTAGGACGGAATTATTAATGGCGAATTAGGTATTGGCTGCAAATATTGAATGGAACTTAACAATGGCGGACTGTTCTGATTTGTTCTGATTTGTCTCAGTATACATGCAGGCTCAGGCCTCTTCTGTTTCAGTATATATGCAGGTTTAGACTGCTCTTGTCTCAGTATGTATGCAGGTTTAGACCACTCTTGTCTCAGTATAAATGCAGGCTTAGACCACTCCTGTCTCAGTATACATGCAGACTCAGACCACTCCTGTCTCAGTATACATGCAGACTGCTATTGTCTGAAGCCACGTTCAGATCGGATCATGCGTTGCTGCGACTTTCAATGCAAAGTCAATGGTGACGCATGTTCGAGCATGGAACTGCATGTGCGTCTCGGGATGCACGCTCGGACGCACGGACTGCGCGGCAAAGGCGGAGGAGCGGAAAAACGGCATATGCAGGAGATAAAGTTTGGTGAATGTTTCCTCGGGATACTCGTGCAGCGACCAATCAAAGAGCCGCAAAGTGGTCACGGCCGGGGACATTAGCGGTCTGAGCGAGCAGACGGATAATACTCGTAAACAGCCAAAACTGGAGCTACACCAGGACTCAACCAGGGTTGACAATGGGGGACACAGTGCTTGTGAACATATGTGTTCTCATGCTCCAGCGACTGTATACAACTGCTTCGAGCCTGTTTGCCGATTGCGGAAGTACCGTTTAATAATGAAATAAACTTATGGCGCACCTCCATGAACACATACTGCTGTTATATAAAGCCGCTAGCTTAGCTCCGTTTGCATCAAAGTCCGCCTGCTACTTCCGCCACTTCAGAGCCCAGGACCCCTGCGTCTGAAATTAAGAAAATGTATGTCTGGTGGTTGTATATATCATCATATTCATTAAATGAGTATGTAGCCTATATACGTCCAAATATATACATCTAATATTGGCATGGCTTTTTCACTATGCATTTTCCCTAGTAATTGGTTCATTAGTTACATGAGAACATTCCTATTGGTGTGTCAGGGTTTACATGCGTTTTTAAACAACTCGACCAGTTTTCCAATTCCCTCTCATCCAATGTAAATGGAATGGGTGTATTTCTGATAATTCAAAAATCATCAGCAACTTAACACAAGCTTTAAAGACAAGTGAACAGATACATCTTAGTGATCTATGGGTGGCATAGATTATCACATTACAGCAGACAAAAGCACCACATGCTTGCCTTAAAATAAAATGTCGTAAAAATCGGTCACAGCATTCCTTACATTGGCTAAATCACTGAGTGTTACTTGGAATGCATAGAGAAAAGTAGAAAAGAAGTCGGCAGTGATGAGATTTCCGAACAACAGAAAGTGCTCGGGATGGGAGCCGAGAGGCAGTGGGAGATTAGGGATTTAAGGAGTGATAGGAGGCAGCTTTTGTGCAGCCGCAGCGGGGGAAGGCAGAAGGAGGGCTTATGCTAATGTATGCAAATGTATGGGCACAACGACAAGAGCGACATGAGCTGGGGAATGCATCAGCCAAACCGGAGTCCACCGAGGTCCAGTGGAGACGAAACCAGAAGAAGGCCTGGGTGCACAAAAGGTGGGATGGCTTTTGGGTGTAATCAACACTATGCTATTCATTAATCTTTTCGTGGTCAGAAAATGTTGTCTAGGGCATAAACATACAAAGTTTCATTGTGACCAGCGTCGCCAAGTCACACGATCGTGACTGGTTTGTGTCTCAGTCCAAGCAGCAAACCATGTTCAGTCCATGACCAAGGCAGATGAAGAAAATCCAGTGGGTGAGTTGTCAACAGGTTTGGCGTCTTAAAATGGTCTAAAACTAAATTCTTTGCAAAGCCAGTGCGCACAATTTCTGATAATGACGGAGCAGCAGCTGGCACGTGTTGTTCAGAGTGTGACAAATATGGCAGGGGTTTGTTTTAACTTCCACAACAGGGACCACACTTTATGCGTACCCTCTGCAATCGTTTACAAAGAAGATCATATTGCAGTTCGTAAAGTTGCAGTAAAAAGAAAAAATTCCCAGCCTGTGGAGTCGATGAAGTGCTGTGTTTACTATAGTTTCTAATGTAGTCATAATTTCCTGATTCAGATTCAGATTCAGATTACTTTATTGACCATTGTGCAAAACACATAGGAGTTTGACTTGGCAACATGACAGAGTGCATTCATCTTTATTCACATAGTGCAAGAGATATAAATAAAATAGATATTCTAATAAAGTGCCATAGTGTTCAGTCCTTGTTCCTAGGGGGCAAGGGAAGAAGGGAAACCAGCGTCAGTGAGCAGCCTGGCCGCTGAGGGGAAAAAACTGTTTTTGTAGCGCTCCGTCTTAGCCCCCAGATGCCGCATCCTCCTCCCAGAGGGGAGCAGGGTGAGGAGGCCGTGACCAGGGTGGGAGGGGTCAGCCATGATCTTTCTCGCCCTCCTCAGTGCCCTGGAGTCATGCCGGGACTTGAGGGAGGGTATAGTTACTTTAGGCATACTGGACACTTTAATTACTGTTAGTGTCCATTCCTAATAAGTAGTTCATTTGTAGTACTTGGGCCAGTTTTTGTGAAGATACTGACAAAACTCTCACTTATGAAAAGTGAGTTTTCACAAGAAGACTGCTGGACTCTCAGGCTGCACAAGGGGCGCTACCACTATGTAGGCCCAGAAAAGACTCAAATTTGGGAGCCCCCGCCAGTCATTAAAGCAGGATATGTTTTCCAAAGAGTCTTTTCTGAGTTGATAACGTGGGAGTACCACACTGCCAACTCTAGCGCAGCCCTCTAGCACACAGCTCTATGTTTAGCAAAGGCCATTCTTGACATGGGGAAAATAAATTGCTTAGCTGGCTTGTATATTACTTCTGTGTAGCGAGATCCAGACACTTAACCCCACTTTGCCTGAAGCCTCGGCTGAAAGACCAAGGCTGTGGCTTTGTTGACCCACCACCTGCAGAAGGATCAGTGAAGGGCTCCCAGAAATGGATTAATAAAGGCGATGATGATGACAAGACTAAACTTTTATTTTATTTTATGGTTTTCATTTTAGAACTCCATGCGTTTAATTACACCCCACCAAATTTGATATGTACAAAGATCATGTTTAAGAGCCAACATTAACAATGCAATCATATTTTTTCATTCATGTATTTTTCGTTTCTCAATTCTCTGCTCCTGGAATCAACACATCACTTTGTCTGCACTAATTATCCACTCTCATCATGCTGGAGTGACCGCCTATGAGAGCTAGAGTTACCTGTATGGACACGCTGCTGAAGGAGCCCCCGATGACCCCCGCGATGGCCAGGGGGCTGTCGTCTTGCAGCGCGTATGAGCCGTCTGGACAAATGAACTCTGTGTCGTCCACTTTGGTCAGCGATGCCCGCACAAACTCCAGGGCCTAGCCAAAAACAGGGAAAAATATAATTGTTAATAAGAGACATCATCTGGTTTTATCCATGTTACAGCTTGTTCTCTCAATATGAACTGACCTGGCGTTATTTTTAAAACTTCTAGCACAAAACCAACACACTCATGTCCCCTCGCCCTTTCTGTCCAAATCTTATGTTTTTAAACTCCTTACCCTTTGATGTATACCAGGGCTTTTTTACATTTTTTTTTTTACTGCAATGTGGAGAAATTCCATGCCAAATGTAGCCCTTTTTCTGTTAGAATTGTTTTTATCAATATGGAGTCAAGTCTAAAAATCCATCTGAGTTGTTTTGTGGAGCTCGGGCTGGTCCTAGCTCTGCTGCACCTCTCTCACTCTCTCCGTCAGATCTTTATGATGAGCGTCCTCATGAACTAAGATGACATAAAGAATAAATTCATGGTGAAGAAAGAGTGCGTGCACCGATTGCAGTTGTAAAATCCGAGCGCACGGTTCTAACATTTTTGAGCAGCCTCCTGTTTGATATCCATGCCAGTTCAGCTCAGCGTCCGAAGGCAACTTTGCAATGTTCAAAACAGTCAAAACCGCACTGGAGGTGAAATAACAACCTAACTCAAACTTCTTTTCTTCATACGTTTATCATGATCAAACAAACTGATCCATTTTGTAATTTTAAACAATAGGAAACATATTGAATTCCAATTCTTAGAAAGGACATAAGATCCACAGGACAGAATGACAGCATTGAAATGATCTGCACCAGGCCAGCGGTAGAACCATCAAAGTCTACAGAGCCGGGAGATATTTCACTCATTATCTCCCATATGAAGTCAGATGAGGGTTCTGAACCTTGCCAAGAGCTTATATCATGGCGCCATATGCTCTTTATTGTCTGTTTATTCTTTATCATCTGCGAAAAACACTTTGAATGTGGTCGGCTTCACTGATGAGCGCCCACCGGCCCCAGAGGAGTGGAAGCTGTCACTGCAAAAATATGCAAAGTACAAACTGACTGAGAATATTTGCATTTACATTTTAGTTACATTTTCTGAAGAAAACAACCGCAAAAAACACATCTATTCTATAGGAAGTCCTTTGTTGACATTTTAGTGTGCATGCACAAGGAGTTGGTAGGCAAGGACGCCAGCAGAATGGCATGGGGGCATTTGTGCTTCAAGCTTTTCCAAGAGAGTTTGTGGGCCGGTTTGTGTCTCAGTCCAATGATAATAATAAACTCAGTATTTAACCACCTGAAGACAAGAGGAGGAAAGGGTTGTGCCTGTCTTTTTACACTTGCCATAACAAATTTGCAAGTTATAAGCTTTATTATAAATTTTGCTTGAGAGAAATCCAATTTTTCAAACAGTTAAGTGAAAGAGAGGGGACCACTGTATCCAACAGATCAGTGAGTGGATGCAAAACAACTTCCTTCAGCTAAATGCAGACAAGACTGAAATGATTGTCTTTGGTCCCCAGAAACAAAGAGAGGGTGTCATTTGTCAGCTTCAGTCTCTCTCACTAAAACCCTCAGAGAAGGTTAGAAATGTAGGAGTAATACTGGACTCAGACCTAAATTTCAATAGCCACATCAAATCAATTACATCAACAGCTTTTTACCATCTGAAGAACATTGCCAAAGTTAGAAATATGGTGTCCAAATCAGACCTGGAGATTCTTATCCATGCATTTGTCTCCAGTAGGTTAGACTACTGCAATGGCCTGCTCACAGGTCTGTCCAAACAGGCTGTAAAACAGCTGCAGTACAGTGCCTTGCGAAAGTATTCGGCCCCCTTCAACCTTTCAAAATTTCGCCACATTTCAGGCTTCAAACATAAAGATATAAAATTTTAATTTTTCATCATAAATCAACAACAAGTGGGACACAATCGTGAAGTGGAACAAAATGTATTGGATAATTTAAACTTTTTTAACAAATAAAAAACTGAAGTCGCCCCACTTCATCCAGAGTGATCATGGGCCTCTTGGCTGCATCTCTGATCAGTCTTCTCCTTGTTTGAGATGAAAGTTTGGAGGGACGGCCGGGTCTTGGTAGATTTGCAGTGGTCTGATACTCCTTCCATTTCAATATAACTGCTTGCCCAGTGCTCCTTGAGATGTTTAAAGCTTGGGAAATGTTTTTGTATCCAAATCCGGCTTTAAACTTCTCCACAACAGTATCCCGGACCTGCCTGGTGTGTTCCTTTGTCTTCATGGTTCTCTCTGCGCTTTAAACAGAACCCTGAGACTATCAAAGAGTAGGTGCATTTATACGGAGACTTGGTTACACACAGGTGCATTCTATTTATCATCATCAGTCATTTAGGACAACATTGGATCATTCAAAGATCCTCACTGAACTTCTGGACTGAGTTTGCTGCACTAAAAGTAAAGGGGCCGAATAATATTGCACGCCCCACTTTTCAGTTTTTTATTTGTTAAAAAAGTTTAAATTATCCAATAAATTTCGTTCCACTTCACGATTGTGTCCCACTTGTTGTTGATTCATGACAAAAAATTAAATTTTATATCTTTATGTTTGAAGCCTGAAATGTGGCGAAATGTTGAAAGGTTGAAGGGGGCCGAATACTTTCGCAAGGCACTGTACATTCAAAATGCAGCAGCTCGAGTCCTGACTAGAACCAGGAAGTACGACCATATTAGTCCAGTCCTCAGGTCTCTGCACTGGCTTCCTGTGGCTCAGAGAATAGATTTTAAAACAGCTCTGCTTGTGTACAAGTCTCTCCATGGCCTCGCACCAAAATACATTGGTGATCTGTTGGTCCCGTATGAACCGAGCCGGACTCTGAGGAGCTCAGGGACTGGACTCTTGCTCGTGCCCAGAGTGAGAACCAAACATGGGGAGGCTGCATTTCAGGTTTATGCTGCTAAAATCTGGAACAGTCTCCCTGAAAATGTGAGAGAAGCTTGTTTAAATCCAGGTTAAAGACTCTTCTGTTTGCCTGTGCATTCAACTGAAGGATTTTAGCTCATTTCTTAATGCACCGTGGTTATTTATTTTTTAATTCCCTTTGTAAATTTTAAAGTTTTTATGGTTTTAATTTTTGTGTGTTTTTAAAAGTTCTAATTGTGTTTCTGGTGTTTGTTTTATGTGATGATTTGTGATGTGGACTGTGAAGCGCTTTGTGTTGCACATGTATGCACGTGTATGAAAAGGCGCTCAACAAATAAACTTTGATTGATTGACCACCCTCTTTCAGCCAATCAGCTCTCAGCCCATAATGTCAAATACTAAATGACAGAATTGAATCTTACAAGACATACAGTAAGATGACATGTTCTAGTCTGATCTATTCAAATTGTTCACAACATTTTAATATTATTTTCTTCATTGAGTCAACAATATGTAAAAATCTTAATATGCTCAGAAGCTCTTAAAACTAATATTTTCTTTCCATATTATCGCATTATGTTAGCTTGGAGGAAAATGTGAGAAAATCACTAGATTGTAACATGAAGGAGCTCAGAGCTACATCTGCGACTGATCCCTGGAGTAGTGTGTTGTGTGTTTGATGACGAGATAATGCGTTTTATTGCTTGCTCTGTACATTTTGCACTTTGACCCCTCCCCTTTAGGACTGCAGATGGAAATGAGCTATTAAGCTACACTCTGGTACAAGCATCTCTGCTGTGTGCATAAAGTAATTGTGCAATGTCCTGATGAATAAATACATGAAAAAAGTAAATGCTAAACTGATAATTCTTACATACAGTGGCTTTTTCACCGGGCAGATGTCAAGGGAGAACGATGACTGCGACTTTGGACATAATGATAATAATAATAATGCATGTTTTGTTCTCTCAAAGACTCATTGTACTTCCACTCCATACACAGTGATGATGAACTACTACTGTAGCCACAGCAGCCGTGGGGCAAACTGGCAGAAGCAAGGTAACCAGTCTGTGCCCTCAGCCTCTCCATCACTCCAGTGTTAAAAATACCAGATCTGTCTGCCATGACGGTCCTATTGTTCGTTGTGATTGCTTTTTTTCTCTTGTATAAAAGCTTCCACCGCCTCATCATGATCTGTGCTTTCAAATGTAGCAGAGAGACTATGCTTTCAGACGTTTGAGGCAATTTTGAAGTGTGGAGCGTGCGGTTTTTACTCAAGTAAATGTGTCAATTAGTGGATAACAGCCCTATTCTATCCCGACAACTATTTCACACATAGATTCACTGGATACATCAGATACATTTGGAGACCCAAATGGTCATCTCCAACCTGAGAACATTTAGGGAAACATATATGTTTATGTCACCGGTAAGAGACTAGACTAGTTGTCAAACATTTGATATACTTTTCAAATGGACTTTGAGTACAAGCATATCATGAATTGGTCTATAATTTTTTTCCTGGGTTTAAATTTGGTTTAAACTGGGACTATGCTTATGCCTTCGTGGTTTAAAACACAGGATAACTCAACAGGATAAGACAAGGAAAACATATGTAATACAATAACTCAACAAATGTTCAGCATAAAATCTGTTTGAGATACAGGAGGCGATCAAAATCAGGGAGCATCAACAGAGACGAGGGGGGCCCATACCTTGGCTCACACATGGTCCTCACTTCTCCAGAGACCACAGCACGACAAGGGGTGTGGTCAGTCTTATGGATCTGCCTGATTCGTCACACTGGCTGCATCATACAACAGGGACCTGTCCCTCCAATACATGTCACCTCTGACAAAGTCAGAAGTCTGCCGTCAGGTATTTAAGTAAGAACTCCTTCCTTACACGTTTTATCTCATTTATAAATAAGACATAATGAAGAACAGTCATTAATTATAACGCAATTTAGCAGATTATTTAGAGACAGCGGCAGTGATGTTTTTTACCTGGGAAAAGTCAGGATTATATTGGCAATGTGCAGTATGCATTTGGATTTAAAAGACAAACAAACCTTAAAAGGAATCATGGAGCTTATACGAGCAGCCGAGCACATGAGAAAATCAAATGCCCAAAGTAAACATGTAGTTTACCTTACAGTTACAAAGTTTGAGTAACAAGGGAAAGTTAGGGGACGCCTTTTAAATCATCCAAAGGTCTTGAACCTTGAACATCTTCTCCGCTGGTAGTACAGAGACAATACCAAAACTCGTCAAACCGATTTGATAATCTCATTGAGCGCATTTTTGGAATGTAATCTGTAATCTATCTTTTCATGGACCAAATGTGTGCTGTGTTTTTTATCATTACACCCCCTGTGTTTGAACTCTTTGATTTTCTCATCAGTTGTTTTCTTGTAAAGTCTGAGGTAACTACAGTTGTGACTTAGGACTATAGAAAAATACATTGAATTGAACTTTTAGAACGGTCTGGTATAGTAATGACAAATTTCTAAACCTAAACACCTCTTTTTTTCACGACTCCTTTGAAAAAGAGGTTCTTAATATTTTTCCTGGTTGAACAAAGGTTAGATAAATAATATATTTTTTAAAACCCCAAAAAAGACCAGATGAACCTTCCATAGATGAGGGTCGGACAAACACAGTCCATGTCTCACGCACCTGCTCCAGAGCGTAGGTGTCCCGCGAGCAGGTGTCCAGGACGTGCACCCCCAGCGTCACCCCCGGCAGCAGCGATGGGTCCTGGTTGATGCGGTCGATGGCGAACAACATGGCCTCCAGCCGCTGAATGCCCCGGGCCTCGTTGACGCGCCCGCACTCCTCCATCCCGGCCCCCTTCTCATGCACCGGGAACAGCCCCCCCAGGACCAGGTCGCCCTCGATGCGCACCTCCCGCTTGGACTGCGCGTTGTCCCCGCCGCCGCCGCCCATGGACAGCAGCACGGTGCGCAGGGTGGAGAAGAAGAAGAGCAGCAGGGCGGGCACCATGATCAGGCGGGCGGGTTAGAGTGCGTGGGGCGTGGGGGGTGTCGCGGCGTGGAGGTGCAGGGTGCCTGGGACCATGAAGCGGTCAGGGAGAGCGGGGGAGGAGCGCATGCAGGAGGACACAGCATCTGTGCATCAGACCTGCAGAGAAAATCAGAAAAGAAGATGAGGATTAATGTATGTCAGGTTTAGAGCGGTTTTGTACGGTAACAACAGTAGGCGACTCAAAGGGCTTTACAAAAAGATTGGGTTTGCCATTAGCAGAATAGAAAATCAAAGAATTAAAACACTCAATGGTCAAGGAATACTGCTACTACTACTACTGCTGCTTCTGGTGCTGGTACTACTGCTACGTACTTCTACAACTCTGCTACCGCTGAGTACTACTACTACTAGTGTTATAACTACCCACTACTAATACAATAACCTACTACTTACTACTACTACTACTATCACAACCACCACTACCACTGTCACTTCTGTATCAATGCTCTATTATGAAACTTATGACAACTGTGTGGTTAGCACTCCCCCTTCTCAGCAAGAAGGTCCTGGGTTTCAATCCCAGTCAGAACAGGTATTCAACAACAGTGGAGTTTGCATGTTCTCCCTGTGTCTGCATAGGTTTCCTCCGGGGCCAGCAGTTGACCCCATCACTAAAAACATGTCCAATTAGTAAATTCTCCATCTCTGGTCCTGACCAACCGAGCATCAACATCTGGAGATGGGCTCCCGGGCGCTCGACTACAGCGTCCACTGTAAAATAAAGTGCACATTTAAATTAAACTTATGACAATTTCTGAGTGTGACATCACAAGAGGAGCCGTCTTCTGTGAAACGATGGTCTTTACATTGCCATGCCATCCATTACACCACTGTTAGATTCCACTTGAGCCAAAATCAACACAAATAATGCATCATCTTCTCTTGTGGACTATGTGGACTTTCCCTTTTCAAAACAACAAATTGAATAAAATTCCAAGTGTGGACTATCTCCGTTCACCACAGCGATTTGCCTCACTCACTTCCCTCACGGATTTGAACGTTATGTGCGACACAGCTAACAAGCGCTCAAAGAGGGTTCTGCCCGAGCGGGCCGTGACTAACAAGAGAGTGGGCTTTTGTTATGGCGCTGGTTCAATGTGCTCCTTACATCAGCCAAAGCCCTGTGCCCAAGTGCATGTGCGAGGATAAGCCTGCCGAGACATACACACACATACCTGACTTATTACTGTTCGTTTTTCTCATTAAAGTAGACGTTATGTGTTTCTGTCTGCTGCATAGTGATAATTTATAGTCTCTTTTTGACTGGTTGTTGTTTGACTGGTGCCAGAAAGTGTGACCAGTTGTGACAAGAGCTGACTAGAACTTACAAAGTTTACTAGAACCACAGACTAGCATAATATGTTTGAGAACCGCATTTGGACAAAGGGGGGGGGAGCAATGTACTTATTGGTGTGGATGAGGCTATAGGCAACTTCCGGTCCGTTCTTGATGAGGGAACAATGTTGCAACATGGTTAAAAACTCAAAAAAGAGGATTTTCCTTAATAAAATGTGTGTATCCTTTAAAATCCTCTGGTGAACACACACATTTTGACACACTAATCTCATCTCGTTTCGTTTCGGCATGACTTACAAATCCGCTGCATGTTATCTGACGTGTCTATCCCCCTCGGTGCGTAATTACAGTGGAAGTTTTTGATGAAAGAGGCTAAGTGACAGGGCGTTGGGAGGTTTCTTATCAGTGCGCTCGCCAGGCTGACGGCTGCATGCTCCGGTTGCACACACAGCTCCCACCTATCAGGCAATTAGTGCAGCTGCGTCCTGAAGCCTCCAGGGGGAGCTGTAATACGGACCAGCACAGACAAAGCACAGCTTTTGTTGGCATGGCTTTGTGTTTGCATTATTTGTGAACTTTTTCTTCACAGGACTGAAAGATTGGGCTGGTTGGCTGCTGTATGTGGTGAGAAATGACCACAAGACCTATAATTATGTTTTGTGAAACTTTTCCAACAGTGGAGCAAGTTACCCTCTGTTGAGCCTATAAACCCTTCTTTTTATTTTTTTTATTTTACAATCTCTTGTAATTTGTTAAATAAAAAAATACAAAAACAAATGTGGGTAAACTTAAGAGAGCAACACTCCCATCTAGTGTGAAATTACATTCTGCCACATTTGGATCCAAATCTAACATGACGCTAGCCTGACTCTCGCCAGACCCATGTAGTTCGCTGCACTTCACACATGAGTCTGGTACTGAGCCATAGTGGTTGGATTTTAGAAGGCAGGGCCTTGTAAAAAAAAATCCTTGCATGTGATTGGATAGACCACTTGTCCGTTATCTTGAATGAAGTCTGCTTTCAACCACTCACATCGAAGCACACGGCTCCCATAGGTTGCCAAATCCCAGCAAGATTTTCCAACCCAAAATCCGCGAGAATACCCAAAAAAAAGAATGATTTTTTGGCTAAAAACGTAATGTAATAAACTTGGGCTATCATGATTGTGTTTACCGTCTTTCTGTTTATTTAATACCTACAAGTCTCTTGGAAAAAAATATGCGGGAACCACCAAACCTGGCAACCCTGCTGCATAGTGTGTAAACAGGAACACTGAACCAGTGCTTCAACCAAACTTTACAGGAACATTTGACTCTTAAAACACACATATATCAACATAGAACCATCTACATCTCGCCTCAAATTGCATTAAAAGTGACATCCGTGTCTTAGTTCGATCGTATTTACTCTTTTAAAAAGATTCGCGGACTTTACGTCCGCCATCTTGGATTCCTCTCGCTGCTGCACAAGAGAAGCTTGAGAAGGCAGTGCAAACCCCACATAACACCGGCAATCCTGATTGGTCGATTAAAACATAATCTGGGGAAGGCGTTTGCTATGGCGTCGATACCAGACCCATGTGGTTCAGCCAAACGCCTCTAGTGGAGCATGGCGGAACTACCAGGGTCTGGCAGAGCCAGGCTAACATGACGCGGCCATGAAATCAAAATGGTGAGGGCAACAATGTATTCCTTAAAAGATGGGGCACCAAACTTTTAAAGTGATTGTCTGGAGTTTGTCAGAAAGAGAGACAGAGAGGTACTTGGTTTGGAAAAAAACGAACGCAAGCTCCCTCCCCCTTCCTTTCTGATTGGTCTACACCTACGTTTCCGTAACACTTTGAAATGTTAATCAGAGAACACATTATACATATACATTATTAATACACATGCACGGAGGTTTTCAGAATTATTTGTGAACGTTTTAATGAAAAAAATAATGTTTTTATGCAAAAAAAAACCAACGCGGCAAACCAGGAAGTGCTATTATCATGAATTGCACATTATAGGACACATCTGCAGAAGATCTGATTATGGATATAGGTTCAGAATATACATAAGTACCTCAGCGTGGATGTTCAGAATTCTTTGTTCAGTTTTCATATTGTTCCAGAGCCTAACAGAGGCTTGATTCGGAGGCTCCGCGAAAACAAACAACTGAGCATGCGCGCAGCTGCGAGCATCAGCGCCGATGATTGACAGCCCTTGGCATGACTCGATTGGTTAACCTCGACGGCACCGTGGATTCTGAACTATAGCTAAGAGCAGGGAAGGCGGGACTTGCCCGTAATATTAGAATTAATAAAATGACTTATTTTATATCAACATTTAAGGCCAGGAGGTCAATTTAGCACATTTCCTAAAATTTGTAATTCATTTAGTTACAGACTATCACTTTAAACTACAAAATAATTACAAAACAATGTAATAAATTACAGAATCTCTCTTGCTCTCAAAACCGATAAATTCTATGTCTTTTTGGATTATAACATGTTTAGATAATCTTTTTCACACATCAGTCAACCAATACATAAATCAATAACATAGTGAGTCATAGGGCTCTGTTTTTAAAGTGCAATTATAGGATGAAGAGGGGGTGTTGGGGTCTTTCCTTTGGGACAAACAACATGGATATTGCTAGTGAACAATAAATTAGTTATTCCAGATTTAAGTTCAATCATCTTTGCTCTGATTGGTCGATAAAGTTCATTACAGTTCAAAGTCATTGCTCCACAAAGCAAAACCATTTTCATCCCCCTAAAAAGGTCTGGTGGCGTCCGTCCCTGCGGCTGCATCGTTACCGCAGCCTCTTGCACACTTCACACAGGGACTGACCACCTTCTGCTCACTCTGCTGACTCCAAGGCCTCTGGCACGTGGCTCTGCGAACACAGATTTCCAACAGTTTATTGGCTCAGCCAAGCGCGCCAAAGAATACTTCTCTATCACTGGGAAGGCTAAAAATAAACCGTTCATTAGACAGCCACGGAAAGTGCCCAAAGCTCGCCTGGCGTCTCCAGAGAACCCAAAAGTCACAAAACACTTCTGTCTCTTTCAAGATGACAAAAATGGTAGAAATAACGGTGAAAGACAGTGTTAAGCGTGCTTCAAAGAAAAACGTGACAATTGCTGAGGTCCAATGTTTTGCCATTAATTCTGTCATATTTGGAACGAAAAAGCACCATCACGCACCGAAAGGGTCACGACAAAAGGGATCTTTGTTTACTTTAAAAGAAAACATACAATGTAAATTTGACTTATTTGAGATTTTAACCATGTTCCAACATTGTTCTTCATCAAAAACAGAACGAGATGTTTTTTAGATCCATCCATACTGTAATTCGGAACTTCTGGCATAAACAGCTCGGTTTCAAAGTTCATATCTGTGAGAATCTGATGTCATTGTACCACTATGACATCACAATCGGTTTTCTGCCTTTTAGAACAGAAGTATTGCCCCTAAATTAGTTTTGGTAAATTCTCAGGTGAAATGGTGTTGTTTACAATCCCACGGCTGTGTGTAATATCAGAAAATGTTAGAATTTGGCAAAAAAAAATAATAATTATTATTATTTTCAAAACTCAATTTTGCAAACAAATATTAGGCGGGTGCAGATTGTACAAGTTGTCCCTCTTGAAAAAATGAGAGGAGTTGTTAATTTT